AGCAATATCTAAACCAGTCAGAATACTGAGTGATCCAGCATCGAGCCTACTAGCCATTAAAGAACTCAGCAGCAAAGCGGATTCTGTCCACATTATTAGGAATACTCTACTTCAGATCCCCGAGTCCCAACTACCGTACCTGAGCTGGGTTCCAGCGCATGTAGCCATTGCTGGAAACTAGGATGCCAACAGGCTTGCTAAGCTAGCAGCTAACGACTTGAATGGGCCTGAAACACCTCTAAAAGCATCAGTTTCCTATTTAAAAAAGATTACCGAATTCAAAATGTTAGAAATTTGGCAATAGAGATGGAACAACTCCACCACAGGCCGCAGAGCCTTTCGTTTCTTCCCCAAAGTTGGTCTGAATCTGGTCACCAGTAGTATCATCTTACACACTTCTTTACTGGACACGGACCATTTCCAAGCTACTTACGGCGCTTCAGATTAGCTACTTCAGGCAGTTGTAAATGTGGAACACTAGGTGATCCGGATCACTTTGCTTTTGAACTCCCTTTCACGACACGATTTCATTTAAAAAACCCACTGAAGCACACTGGTCCGGGTGGTCAGCCATCTCAAGAGAAGTAAGCTCGCATTTAATCAGATTCATCGAGTAATGGACATTTGGTGCTCGTGAATTTTGCTCGTGAATTTTGAATTTTGGCTCGTGAACATTTGGTAGATTGGATGGAATGAAATCCGCTGCGGATATTAGGGATATTTCTCAATTTGCTGCGTTTTAGAAAATGAGGACGCCTACATTTAAGCTTGCGATATTAAAATAAGAAAAGGTTTTCTCAAGTTTAGAAAAATACTCAGGGCTTATTATCCATGTACAGAATGTGAAATAAGTGAAATTTTATGCTATTCTGGTTATATATAATTTGCAAATAAAACTGTGAATATAATTGTATTAAATGCATTCAAAAAATCTCGAATGGTATTTTAATTTTTAGCTGTTAAGTATATATTCTATATCGGAGCCTGTTGTTGTCAGCTGCGAAAAGTAAGAATTTTTGCTCACAACAGGATTCTTCGAATTTAATAGACAAGTCAACGATGCATAACCTATACGGAGCAAGAAGTTTATGCGGTAGAGGAAATGGTTGAAATGTGCTACGGATTCAACTACGGCGAGCAACCCTTTTCTGGTGGAACAGTAATGCTTCCCTTGTTCAGATAGGTATCTGCTCCAGTATGCTGGGACTCGTTCTTGACCATTTGTTTCTTGTGACAAAACCACATCGATACTCTCATTGCTCGCACACGTGTTAGGAATAAACGATTTGTCGAGCTGAAAATACGTGAGAATTGTCGTAGATGTTAAAGCTTCCTTCATTTTGTAAAATTCAGCCTCACATTCCTTTGTTCGCAAGAATTTGTGTTTGCTCTCCGTCAGCTTGTGAAGGGGGTCTTGCGATGGAAGAGAAGTTCTTCACAAATCTCTTAAAGTAGGTTTCAGGAAACGTCTCAGCTGATAAACCTTTTGAGAGTGTCTCCAGTCTTTAACATCTGACACTTTTTCTGTATCCGTGCATGCACCTTTATCAGCGATGACATGTCCGATGTAAGTCACTTTCTGTCTCAACAATTTACATTTGGAAGGCCTTAACTTTAGCTTAACTTATTTCAGTTTCTGAAGGACCTTCCTAATGTATTTCGAATGTTCTTCAAAAGATCTCCCGACGATGATGCTATCATCGAAGTATATGAGAGAGGCTTCGTAGATAGCACCTCTCAACACTATCTCCGTGAAGCGTTCGAATGTTGCCGGCGCATTACATAATCGAAACGGCATTAAGTTTCACTTCGAAAGTCTTTGTGTGATAGTAAATTCCGTCTTTTCTTGGTTATCCGTGTGTACATCTACCTGCCAATACCCATTTTTTAAAAGCCTTGAAAACCACTTGCTTCCAGAAAGACTGTCCAGAATAACGTCAATTCTAGGAAGAGAGTAGTTGTTTTCTTCGTGATCTTGTTCAACTGGTGACAGTTAACACATAGAAGATAAGTGGAAGAAAACATCTTGAAATTCTTGAATGACGCTTGAATTCTTGAATGAATTGAAATTATTGAATTCCTGAGATCTTCTCTCTTCATCACTTAATAGATGTGCATTCTGGAATAACTCTGATGTTAGGCGCTTCGAATACTCTGAAGGTCTACTGGTTGGTTTAACGCAGGTTACTGGATACGTGCTGCAACCACTTCCCCTTTCCTAATAATTTCGCCTTATCAATTACGTTGGAAAATCTCAACGGGATGACGATCCTCGATAGGTCGACAACTGCCAAGGCTACTAGAATTCGTTTCGATCTATTTAAATTCGTAGTATATTCCATTATTCCGTATGTGAAATTTCTATTTTCAGCTGTGGATACAGGTGGTAAAAATTCTATTGTTAGTTGTAGTGTGAAATCTTCTTGAGCTATTATTTGGTGGACGGATTTAACGTCTTTAAATTCGATCAGGATTATGTCCTTAGTGATTGCAGTTCATAATTTTTAAAATTTTGAACATAGTGTTATTCATTATGTCCTTAGTGATTGCAGTTCATAATTTATGAAATTTTAAAGTTTTCCGTAGGTGAACCTGCGGAAGGATCATTACCGATGGTCAGATTCGCCTGGCAAAATACATTGGTTAAACTCGGGAAGGGAGGTTCGCCTTCCTTCTCTGTGCTGCGCGCCGTTGAGCGGCGTGGAAGCACAGAAAAACTTTGAATTGAAAATTTTTGAAATCGCATGTGATCTCGTACCTACATCGAGGTGTCTAGTATTATATTTCTCGGTCGCATCATGACGACAAGAGGGAGGTGTCGGACTTTTGGGTCCGATGCTAGGTTTAATGAGTACCGCCGTATCTCGAGTGCCATCGATGAAGTATAGCAGCAAAAGGATTTCCCTTCTCTCTGTCGGGCAGTCCGAAAGGGCGACATGGAATAGCTTTTCGTCATCCGTGGCGTTATCTTATAGCGTTTCCGCGGGCTTCTGTTGGCGAGATGTTAAGTATAGTCGTTTAAATTACTTAACTGAAGGCTGCTGTAGTCTTTTAAATACACTTCTCGCCAAAGCGCAGCTTCAACGCGCCAGATACAGCTTTAAAATATAGCCTGTGGTTCTCGTAAGAAAGCGTGGGTTCGAAACCCACTCCAGACACAAATATTGATGCGTGCGTACGGGTTTGTGAGAGAGTGGACGAACACAAAACCGATAATAGCTTGATAAATGAAAAAAAAAAAAAAAAAAAAAAAAAAACCCACTTTACAGTTCTGGAACATTCTACGTAAGCAATCATACAGTTCCCCTCAATATCACAGAGCACTATCAGTAATTACACTCCAAACTACTAAGAACGTTAAACACAACGCAATGAGAAGAGTATCTAAAAGGCGAAGCTATCACGGATGTCTCAATACTCCTAACTAACGAATGAGAAATAATGCTTTTTTCCGGCTTTTATTGTTTTCTCCTGGCTGCTGAGAAATATATAGCTCTCAAAATTACTGGAAAGCCTTTGAAGTTATGCATAAGAGCCGGATACGGTTGCAGTTACATATAGAGATCAATCACATTTATTCAATTACGATACCAACTGTAGGGACCTGAATAATATGTATCTTTGGTGACTTTTTATGATTTCTTGTGAGATTTGGAGACTTAGCTTTGCCGCCCAGTTACAAGTCTACCATCTAAAGCGAATAGTCCCTTGTCACCCACACATTATTAATTCCTCTGATGATCATTCCGTAATTCTTTCAGCAAGGGGGGGGGAACTTGTAACTTTTTCTTGGCTTGTTTTCCACAGATTCGCTTACCGCAGGCAACTCGACCTTTGGATCTTTGGAATTAAACTTTTAAGGTTACTGAGAAAAAGAAACCAAGTTGTTTTCGCGAGTACTCTCCAGGTTCATATCATTTCACGTTCAGAAAAGCGAAAGAAGCACGATCAATCAGTTCAACTTCTTGAAACGGGCCGCTGTTATAAGGACAGCAGTTCAGCTGGAAACGCTATAGCACAAATTTGTCTTCTGTGTGTCTGTTGATAGATCTCTGTTTGATTTAAGATGCTCTAAGGTTTTGATAAGATGAGAGCATTTATTGCTAGTGATGATACGTAATTGATATTTCATCGGCTATCGGAGCATTTGCTGCAAAAGTAGGTTGTGTTAATGATGTTGATGACCAAGCACTTACAGCAATTCTAAGTATCAACGAATGGCCTTGCCAGCTCGATGACCAGACTTCAAACCCAAAATTCTTGCATAACCGCTTAAGAAGATACGTAATTGCCCTCGCAACATCTCTAAGCTTATCATATGAAGTAAAATAGGTTGTAAGGATTATAATGGGAACAGGAGGTAAGGATTAACCCAAAATATAAGGATTTGCTCTCAAACAAAATTCCTAATTATTTGATTGAGAAAATTGAATAACGAAATTTCTAATAATTTAATTGATTTCTAATAATTTGAATACGAAACACTCCACCGTTTTTGGTGAAATATTTCCGCCAGGAATCGGAAAAATCCTCTGAATTGCCGAAAGAGTTATAAAAAGTGCATTCTCAGCAACTTTTGCGTAAGTATTTGTTGTAAATTCATGTGGTTCTTGAAAATAAAATTTCATAATTTTTCCGAAGTATTATGTGTAATAATACTACACTGCACAGTGCAATAAATTGTTGTATTGCCTACAGTCTGTGCTGAAATAATGCTTATAATTTATTTGTTTTTAAGAGTCTATGATTTAAATCGTGTTTGTTTTTTCCTAAGCTTATAGATTTGAGTTTCTCGACTCCTCATTTAGCTTATGAATTAAAACCTGTTTGTTCTTTATTTTAGGAAGTTAGTGTATAGTTTTAGTTCATATTTCTGTAATTTTATTACATGAATATTGTGACCATTCATTGGAATTATGTAAAAAATGGTAAATATTTAATTCGAAATTTTATGTAATTCAGTTTTGACTGATGAAGTACAATCAAGAAATTACACATACTTTTGCATTCTCCGGGTTTATATAGACCGTATCCTTTTCGGCATTGACAGACTTCATTTCCGCTCCTATCTTTGACACATTTTCCATATTTGCATCTACAAACTGTAAAATAATATAAAAATTATTAGAACGACATATTTAAAAGAAGTTCGACATACTGTGCATAAAATAGGAATTTTTTATGCAAAATATTTGTGATGTTAAAAAATTCACTTATTTCTAGTCTGAAGTTTGCTTTAAGAAGAAAACTTTGATGTAATTGCTTGCAACAATAAATTTGGAAAAAAAAAAAAAAAAAATAGAAAGAAAAATATTCAGATATGAAAACTTTCAAAGGTTAACAACTGATCACACATAATTAAAATCAGTGAACAGCGTAGTACATCATAAGTTAGTTATAATTTGGTTTCGTATTATGCATCTATTTTGTCTGTTTGAACATTAAAAAGTTTATATTGAGTTGGCCAATTTATGTTACATTTAAAATAGGACTACAATGTTTTAATCTCTTTCCTATGTCCTTGATGCAAAAGGCGTTTGATTATGGAATCAGTAGCATAAAGTGAAAATGGAAACTGAAGAAAGACATCGGAAAACTGGCACTAGGAAAAATGACAACGGGAAAATATTTATTTTAAATTAAAATGTTTAATTAAAATTTATATTTCTAGCAACTAAGCTTTGGTTTTACTGAAAGTAAGTACAATAAATCGTGTATTTTAAATTAAAATGATAGAGCAAGTCAGTTCAAAAACTTTTTAACATTTCGCATTAAGAAAAATTAAAAAAAAATTTTTTTTATACTTAAATTCATATTAAGGAATATTTGAATTGCACCGTTTTCACAAATGACGTTTTTGTCACATATCGTCCCAGTCACTTACATGCTATTAAGTAGACAATCATCATTGTTATATGCTATTATTAAGTAAACAATCATCATTAATTATATCAAAATTTTAGCATTGATAAAAAAAAGAAAGTTATTTTTTACGTCAAATGAATGTTATATACAGTTTTCATTTCACTGTTTTTTAATTTACTAAATGGTGTCATATTCTCTCTGCACATAGAACTATTTTCATAAATTAATAAATGGGAAAAATATGATCTATCACAAATTTAGAATAATACGCAATGTTTTCAGTAGAAAATATAATAGCAAGAGCAATTGCAGTAGCATTAACTATGTATTAAAATAATAAAGTAAAACTTACTTATCGGTTGCAAGTTTACAGTTTTCTTACTTGTTTTAAAAAAATCATCAAACTATAGACATTTATCATAAGTCAGGAAAATTTATTAGCAAATCAAAAGGAAACAGTTTAAAATATAATTTAAAATATAAAAGTGAGGATGAATAATACAAATCAAAATACGAATTTGCACATAACGTATGATACAATATTGTTGTTCTCCCTATAAGCATAATGATCTGTTTTCAGTTACAACGCACTATAAAACTACACAAACTCCTCATGAAGCACAAAATCGGCATTGTGTATATTAAAATTATATGAATTCACATTATTGTTGTTCTACTCCTGTACACAGCGAACTGTTTGACTTGAGAAAAATCAAAGAATTGCATAAACTCGAAACCGAGCATATTAAATATTAAATATATATATTATGTTACAGTATACATTACTGTTGTTCTTCTCATGTACACAGCGATCTGTTTTCACAATCCCAGAGAATTACACAGACTCGGTACCGCGCCCAGCGAGAAGGCCATGATTAAAATAGTTGTAACTTCAGTTGAAATAGTTGCCATAGTTGAAACTTCAGTGTACACTCCTAAGTAAGGAAATCAAACAGAATTTCTGCTATTACCGTTTTAAAACAAGTCATTTTAAAAATAAGAAATAACAGTGAAAAACATAGAACAAGTGAACGGGAGAGAAATATCTCACAACTCTGTTGATTTGAATTATAAAAAAAATAAGGTTACCAGAATAACGGCCTAACGAAAAAGTAAGGTTACCCGAATTAATTCGTTACCTAACAACGAGATCTCACTCCTCTTTAGCCAAAAATAGTATAGGAAACTTACCTTCACTCTTCCCCCTTCGCTCCATATGATTAAAAACAAATTTAAGTTTTCATTCATATTGCAAGAAGCACCAACAGTAGACATACTAATCAGTAAATAAAAAGGTTTTTGAGCGAAATGACTTTTTTTAATAATTTTGAACGTTTACGATTATGAATTTCCAATCATTTATTCAAAATTTCCAGTCGTTTGGTAAATGTAAATAATGGATGCTCTTTTGAACATTAAGAACATTTTGAACTGTGTTAAGTGATAACAATATCATATTACACATAAAAAAGCAAATTTATAATAAATATAATCTTACTCAGAAATATCAAAAACCTAAGATTTAGCTCCGTTAAAATGTAACTTAACTTTCTTTCAAACAGGTTGCTATATATTTCAAATAATAACAATAGTCGCTTATTTAACCAACATTACACTCCATAATTATATTATAACATATAAATAAAATGATTCGAAATAAAAATGGCTTATTCCTTGTAGTAGTTTTTTAACAGTTCTTCTCCCTTGTCCCCACTTTAATTCTAAAATATGGATTCTTACTTAAAAATGGGAATTTTGAAAAACGAATGAGCAATCATTCCTTCAGATACGTCTGCAATTGGAGAAAAAAGTACGATTTGTCCAAACAGCAGGTGTCACCAAAGAGGGCACCAACACGAAAATATGACAAGAGTTATTTAAATTGGGGCTTTATGCATACTGGTTATAAATATGCTTCTTGATGCACTCTGTATTTTTTGGATAAAATTCTCGTTAACAGTTCTTTGACTTAATGAAACCTCGGAAGCATTTGGAAATGAAGCATCCTGACTGCAATGATAACGCTATACGTTTCATTAAAAAGCAGTTTAATTTACTAGAAAATGTTTATAATCATCTTAATCATAATTTTTTAATTTTAATTTTTAATCATAACAACTGCTAAAATTAAAACTCATACGACTGAAAAAAGAATTTATCAATTCTTGTGCGAAAGACATTATGTCCAATGAAGAATCCGCTAAAGAATTAATTTATTACAGTTATCTAATTAAGCTGTTTTGCAACGCTGATTTTCTTACTAATATATAGACAGAACTAAGTATTTGATTTCAAATTTGCAATGAAATTGTTTACAGATGGATGAGCCAACAGATAATTCAGGTCTACCAGTTTTAGTGGTATTTTTGAGCTGTGTGATTAAGATTTACAAGTGTGCGAATGCCTCCAACAAACAGCAAATGGAGAACATATATTTAAATGAATATTATATTTGTAAAAACAAATATAATTGAGAAAAGCATGTAGAGTAGCTTATGTTGATTAACCCATTATCTTATGATTTTGAGCTAGATTATCATTTCCACATTTTGTAAGCTTTGTAAGTGTTTAAGAGCATAATTTTTATAAGTTAGATAGGTGATGGAGAGCAGAGACTCCTAGTGGCTAGCAGAGGTTAGCAGGAATACTCTCCGCCCTCCCATAAGGAATTTATTGCAACAAAAATAATTTTGATACGGCCAGACAAGGGCTGAAAGTACAGAATTGATGCTTTACATATGATTTTTGTTTTACTAGTAACTAATGAACAGTTTGGTCTTACAGAAGTTAAGCATATTTTTTAACTAAATAAGGTATTTTCTCTTTCGTTTCTAAATGCCTCAGTGGTGTAACGGTAGCACACTCGGCACGTATTCGAGATGTTCTTGTTTTCTGTTTTATTCTTGTTTTTTTTTGAGTCCCGGCGAAAGCATTGCTCATTTTTCTTGTTTTCTAGCTTTAAAATAACCAAATGTCTCTTCAGTGGTGTCCAAACTAAAAAGTGGTTCGGGCGATGATTCTTCACCACCAAGATTTGGCGATTGGGTCCTATAATCCCTAGTTGCCCTTTAAATAATTCGAAGCCGAGAGTCAGGGCGAGGACATTGCTCTTTTTTACGTCTCTAGCATAAAAAAATACTAATTAAGTTGTAAGACTTTGACTGTGTAAATCTCAGTTACTGTAGGAAGTGACGAGTCTTAAGAACTAGACAGCGAATAATCGCTGAAGTTTGGGTGACAAGAAACAACGTGATAGAAGGGTAACTAACATTTTATTATTCCAATAAGATTTAACAAAACTCTACCTAGGAGTGTACAAACAAAGCTGACACTTGGGCTTGAACTTAAAAGACTAAGAATTAAACTAAAACTAAGGTTAACTAAAGAAATATAGCCGAAGCTATCAAGATTCCAATCGAGTTGGCCCCTTAACTTAGTTGACTACGAAGCTTAGCAGGGGCCTGAGTACGGCCGAGCGTAATAACCGCTTTGAGAGAGAGTGGCCAAAAGGGCAGACGCGCGTAAATCAGAAACTCTGATTCTTTCTCACTCTGTAAGTAACTTCGGGGTTTAAATACCGTTCCTCCTGATTAAAATTTCAGTAAGATTCCAAAACTACGTTCTGGCCGGAAGTATTAAGTTGAAGTTAAGAATTTGACAGGAAAGGAACTTAAAATTTAATTGTTAATAAAATTAACATAATCCTGAATAATTAAACTAAAACTAAAATTTAAACTTAAACTAAAAATAATTACACTTAAGTTGAAATAAAAATGTGTGGCGCATGGACGCACTCAGCTGATTAAAGTTTGTTTTATAAGTTATGTTTTCGAAACTGAGAGCTGAGAATAATCTGAGAGGGAATTTTGAAAAATCAAACTTTAGTTCTCTCCGTGTCCCAGCGAGTTAATATCCACATTGAACAGTTAAAAAATTTTATTCTTTTGTGCTCAGGAAGAACTTTAATTTTCGTACTCATGAAGAGCTAACATCAATATTTACCCGTCAGAAACATTATTGGAGCTATATCATTGGAGATTGAAAACGACAGCTGAACGTTGGGACAGGACATAACGACGTTGGTTGAACATTTTAATTTTAAGCATTGCTCGATTCTGTAGAGAATAGGGGCTTACTAGTGTACTTTGAAAGATATAATTTCTGCACAGAGAAACTTTTATCTTTATCACTAGTATATCCCGCATATTATGCCCCTTATTACAGCAACAAGAT